TTCAAAGCAAGTCATATCTTTAAATCTGCATTTTCACACCTATCAACTCCACAAGCTGCACACATCCTCCTCGACATTTCAAAATTACACTGCTTTTGCCTCACTATCTAAGCCCAAATTAGACAAGTTAAATAACCAGGTTCAAGCATACTTAATTTTACCAAAGCCACAGTGAAAATAAAAAAAAGGGAAGGTACCAAAGTGATTATTTCATAATAATAACAGAACTTTATAAAAGCAAGGCTTACCTATATCTTACTCTGTACCTCGCCACAAAAATTGCATAGAAACAGCTAGATATGAAAAAAATGTGAAAAGCTGACATATAGTAAAAAAAAAAAAAAATCTTTTTATTGATTTTTGCACATAGGAAATTTAGATTTTTTTTAAAACCTCACAGTTAGATCCATATCTGTCCTGGGCAGTTTGATGAACAGCTGTCCTAACACACTGCTACAGAAATACTAATAATGAAATTTTTATTAGAGGAACTAGATAATGTACAGTGAAAACTGTTAAGAAAATATATGGAGTCCCCATCTTTTGATATTTAAACTGTGGCAAGCATGGAGTACCTGCTCACCAGCCATTTTACAAACTGAGCAGGTACTCTCCATTGCAGCCGGCTGCCATGACTGCCTCTTGACAGGTTTTCACACCTCTGAAGGCAGGATCAAGCCTCTAGCTCTTACCTTGGAGGTTGGTAGGAGTAGACATCTTGTGGTATAGTCTGACCTGATGTGCACATCAGCCCTTACACAGCTCGGACCCACATAGAAGCTAAACTCTCACTGAAGTCAACAGACTCTGTTCCTTCTCATCATATAAAGTAATATTTGCTTGTGATAAAGAGTGCCACACATGCTCTGCCACATGTAAACTCGTACAAAAATAGAAAGTATGCCAAAGCCATTAGCCCTTCCTTGTCAGTCACCCTTACTTCCAGTCTCTCCACTCTTCTGTTCCAAACTATTTGATATCACCACTGCCTGTCTGTGTAGCATTCAAGTGAACTGCTTTGCCAGTTTCATTACACGCTGTGGAGTCAAGGTTGAAATAGATCATGCCAATTCATGTAAGTTATGCACATCCACAGCTCCATGAAGCACTAAACCACAGTAATATTTAAATGTGTTTCTATCATAAATATGCTTCTATCATAAATCTAAGGCTCAATACAAAGTCCTACTTTGTATAAAATACTAACACTCAAAAGTTTCCTCTGAAAATAAGTGATATTGGACCTTTTTAATTCTCTGAAATACACATTTCCTTCTTCTAAAGCTCTTATCAAATACTTTTCTTGGGGAAACTATTTGGAGTTGTTAAAAAAAGTGTGTGGGGGAAGTACATCTGCTGCACAGCAGTGTTGCAAACCAGTGAAACCATAGAATCACAAAATGCAGTTTAAAGGCTAAGAAAAGTTTTGCAATTTCCATATAAACTAGAATTCTGCCTCTAAAGTACTGCAGGGTGCAAACTTCCACTGGACCCAGAAAAGACCTGGAAGAGCAGAGAGAGGGTCTGTTCTCTAAAACAAGAATAATTTCTTCTTAGTAAAATGCATTGGAGGCATGAGAAAGTAAGGAGAAGACAGAATAAAAACAGGGAGACCTGCATTTTCCCATAAACTTATAGAAGTCATTTACTTACAATAACGGAGTATCATCAATAACACAGATGTCTAATTGTGACCTGGAAAATCATGAAGACAGATGTGTGCCAGTCCTATCTACTAACTCCTCTTTACAGCCTGGAAGGCTGCTCTAAGGTGTCCCCAGAGCCTTCTCGTCTCCAGGCTGAACAACCCCAACTCTCTCAGCCCACCTTCATAGGAGAGGTGTTCCAGTCCTCTCATCACCTTAGTGGCCCTCCTCTAGACTCATTCCAACAGGTCCACATCCTTCTTGTGTTGGGGGCCCCAGAGCTGGATGCAGTACTCTAGGTGGGGTATCAGGAGAGTAGAGGGGCAAAATCAAGTCCTTTGACCTGCTACTCACATTTCTTATGATGCAGCCCAGGATACAGTCGGCTTTCTGGGTTGCAAGCGCACACTGCCAGATCATGTTGAGCTTCTTGTCAACAAGAAGATACGCATATTTAAGAGATTTGGTGCAGGATGGGTCATGCTGTTTGTTATTTCCATTTTGTAGTAGACATTTAGTATATGAAAGGCTCTTCTTTTTGGTTCAGACCCAGGATATGTTGCCCTAAGCGTGCTTCAATACTGCTGATGTACACTATCCTTTAATCCCTGTGCTGAAGACTGGGAAAGCCAGTGCCCAGCACAGCTTTGCAAACATTTACCCAATCTGGGCTTTTCCTCAGGTTACAGAGGCCACAAGTGTTTATTTTCTTGCTATCCAAGTACTGCAAAACCAATCAAAGACATGAATGCCACAGAGGGATTTCAAACATTTCTCATCAATATGTTATCTTTCAAAATCAGAGTTATTTCCCTTGTAATAATAGAATTTTTAAGATAGCATCACCCTGTATTCAATACCACTTTTTTTTTTTTTGCAGGGGGAAAAATCAATTAGCAACTCACCTATACTGAAAAAATATACATACTTATTTGATTCCAGCCTCTGTATTAGGCCACTGTGCAAGTAATTCTCAAAGCACTTTAGAAATGTATTCTTTAACAGTTGTTTGCTAGTAATAACACTTAAGAAAATAAAAGTTATTTGGAGATAGAAATGTCTGTCTCCTTTTCCAAAGCAGGACTTTTCTTTTAGTTTGTGTTGGTAATTAATTAGGAAAAAATTTTAAAAAACCTACTTGAAATGCCATGATCACTTAAAAATTTCTTTGAAGACCATCACTTTGGTTAACAGGCATCAATCCTGCTTTTCAAAATTAAAAAAAAAAAAGGCAAAACAACAAAAAAATACACCACCCCCAAAAAAACCAAAATACCTTCCATGACAAGTTACTATGCCCACTCAAAAGTTGATTTTCCAAGTATTATCCATAGTTAAACATCCCTGACCTAAAGACTTTTCGTTTCTCTTATGCCCTTTTTCTTCTCAGATTTCATCCCAAGTAGTAAGTTCTAAACACTCATAATTTCTTTGTTTGTCAACTTGAATTTCATATTCCTGATTTTCCTGCTCTGAAGGGCAACTCTTGGACAAACTCAGGGCCAAACTGAACCATCAGCTGAAATGCCAAATAACAGATTGTTTTGCTGCTTGTCATGGCCTTTTATTTCCTCCCTTTTGATTAGAAATACTTTATTAGGCTAATTTAGTAATTTGAAGCTTGGGTGAAAGTTTTTACAGAAGAGCACCTTTCTGCTAATACTTCAACAAGGGAAAAATACAATGACAGAAAAGAGGAATCAAAATGGGTTTCTATCCTACTTCAGTACGTTTAAATTAATAAATTAGCCCTTTAGTGGGTAATCAGGTAAATGGCTGAAACAAAAATAGCAAATACAAGGCCATAGATTAACGCAACCCAGAGGCTCTGAGAAAGAACTGCAGTATCTCAGCTGCCTACAAATCAGCACAATGCAGAAAGAACTTTACCTAATGATTTCGTCACTTCAATTGGTTGCTGAATGTAAAGCTGATTCTCCAGGCTTTGGCTTATCTGCTCCACCCAATCTTAAGGCTGAATTATATAGCTGTTGTCGACCAAAGCATTCCTTCTTCAATAGGTGGACTCCACTGTACTCTTCATCAGATGATGAGTAAGGTAACCAACTTGAGAGAAGCAATTTATACTAAATAAAGTATATACATTTATAAAATTCACTTCATTCTGAATTTTTCTTCCCTCTCCTGAGATCTAGTCCAGTAATTTTAAGTGAACAAATCCCTAAAGACACCAATGAAAATATAAAATACTAATCAATCTTTCTTTTGAAATGGGGATAAAGTGTTTGTTATGAAGACAAATTAATTTTCAATCTAAGTCATAAACCCTAAGCATTGGTTTGAAGAACTATGAGCCTAAAAAAATAAGTTTACAAACATCAGCCTGTGAATAACACTGTGGACCAAGCAAAGCTAATTAATCATTTTATATTCTGTGCAGTAATGAGAATAGAAAGGAGTTCCATCACATACTTTACAGATCCTATGTTACAGTCCTCAAGTGTACCCCATTAGATCAAACTTTGGCACTATTTATATTTTAATTCTATTTAAATAGAATTTTAACGTGAGTTGGAAAGTGAATGCGTAACCTTTTCTAAGCATATTTAACTGCTGCATGTAGACATGTGTCATACACCTCCTATTACATGAAGAACAGAAATTCTCCACTCAAAGTTTTTCATAATATTCTGTGGGTTATAAATGCATTTTGACACTTTCCATTTCTGTAATATTTAGCATTCATCTTGGAATATTTATATATGATTAAAAAGTCTAATGTATTTTCTCTCTGGATCATCTTTTTCCACAGTAACTGTATTTCAGCCACGGTTTGATGAACTAAAGATACTGCTCTTCTTATTAACCACTGTCTTTCCTTAGAAATAATCTCATTATATTTCTGTTTCTTTGTAAGGTAACACCAATTGAGTATAGTCACCTTTAACATGAACAGGATATAAAGGTATACAACACAGAAAACCAGATTACTACATATTACTGCACAACTACTTAAAAAACTTATTTACATGTCAGCAAAATTACTGTTTTTTCATAAAAAGAGAAAAACTGATCTAGTCTATTGGGAAGACAACCTATGGCTTGTTGGGAAATTCTATATTCTGCATGTTTTACACCTGGTTTTTCTATGCATGGAGAATTTATATTGCTGTATTCTCCCTTCCCCTTGTTTAAATGACTTTGTATCTCACTCTTAAAAGAAGTAGCCATTTCTTTCAAAAAGGCTGTTGAAACACAATAAAAGACGTTCATCACCCCTTTTCCATTGAAAAAAAATTGTGCTAATGCTTGAATATTTAAATTTAGTTTTGGAAACTACCACAGCAAGTGATCCTTGATAAATATTAAAAAAAAAAAATAAAAATTGGGAGAACTGTCCACTATTGAGGGCAGGTTTTTTACCGTTACATTGCTATCTGGATTTTAACTTCCAAAACTGCAGAGCTGTGCTCTCTGCTCCAGAAGTACCAAACAGCATTACAATGTTTTCCTAAATTTGCTTTTTCGAAGCAATTTGGAAGGCAATTTTGTTATTTGATAAGATGTTCATCACTAAATTCACCTAAACATACAAACAGACACCCCTCCCAAACATACATACACACACACACATTGATTTTACAAAAGTGTCATTTTCTGTAAGCAAGTAATCACAACACTGAAAATATTCTCCTATGTGTTTGCTTATTATTCTTAAATGATTTGTCACCACTCTGCCACTCAAAGGAGATGGTTATTTCATTCTTCTGAGAAGCTAACTATGTTCAAAATCAGCTAGATGAGGATGGTGCTGTGATATAAATTCCAATAGAAAAATGCATCATCCATCCATATAGCCGTCCATCCTGAGAAACTTCCACCAACAAAATCTTGCTATTTTCCATTGGTCATGGGGTTCCCATCAATAAATAGAAGGTCAGTGCAACAATGAGGAGCAAGCAGAATGGAGAAGAGAAGGTCTGATAGGCAGCTGATGGCATGAAAATATCTTCATATTTGTAAATACTGACAACACGTTCTGATACAGGTGGTGAGTCTATATCATGACGAGTTATAGAACCTTTAAGAGGTAAGGGCAGAAAGAAATAATGTCAGATGCATTTTTTTCTATAACTCTACTAAAGATACAGGTAGACAGGTACTTTTCAAAACTACAGGAGCATGCAATATTACACTGTCAGTGAGTAGTACCATTTCTCTGCTTTCTGAAATTAAAATTCTGAATAAAACAAATGAAATGCAAGTAAACAACAAGCATCCTTCACAGGAATTGAGAACTCCTAGTTATGAAGTTCTTCTATACTTAGCTTTGGGAAGGGAGGATAGTAACTTTATAGCCAAGAAAACACGACGTGTTGGACTCTTGTCTTCCTTTTTATCTGTTTTTAAGCTTTATGCTGCCAGAATTTTAGTTCATTTGAAAAAAAAAAAAAAAAAAAGAAAAAAGGGGGAGGGTGTCTAGTAAGAATAATGTAATTGAAAGACGTTTATCCATTTTGGCACATCAGGTCTGTTGGTAACACAGAAATCAACTTACCCTGGATTGCTGGACCCCAAGCAAACAGATAGTACCAACTCAAGTGCAGATCTACGATGGTTTCCTCTCGGGGAACATACACAGGACGCTTGAACCGACATGTTACACGATTGTTTTCAAAAACCCCCTCCTCATCTCTAGCAGGATTTCTCTGGATTTCCTTAGCCCACTGACCGACATTATAGAAGTGCTGTATTCGGACTCTTCCGTTGTCATCATGAACACAAGCCATGACATCATCTCCTCCCTACAAGGTAAAAACAAATTGGAAGATGGAAACCAGAAGTGTCAGAAAGCATTTCCTCATTTATGTGTATAATTTTAATTATTCAAAACTAATCAAGACCTAGGACTCTCCTTTCTTCTTTCTAAATTATATATACACAAATATTTGTTTCCCTAACCAGGCGTCTTGAATCCAATTGAAAAGCACATAAATAAATAGTAATATTTACTTACCCTTACTATCTCTTTTGGATCTTTCTAAGAGTTATTTTACCTTACATATATAACGTATTTGTAAGACATGATATCACCTTGACATCACACAATTAATTGATCTGTGGAAGGCTGTTTTCTTTGGTTATTTGTGAAGTTCTGGGATCCTGCTTCATAAAAACTGTCAGTCTTGAATCCCTGCTGTGCGCAAAATCCACTGCATCAAATAATGGATAGGAAACCAATATGATTTAGTAGGATAGAGGAGATGAATCTACTAATTATGGGAAAATAATACCATAAATTAGAGTAAGTCTTTTCTAATCTCTTCTCACAGTCACTTAAGGGAACATCACTTCTCATATCTCTCTTATCTCTTAAAAGAAAATTAAAAATGTTCAGCATGTAATAACAGAATACAGTATACCATAAGATATAATAAAAAAGTAATCAATATGTTCTTCTTCACTTAGCTTAAACAGCCACCAAAGTTGGTTCTTCTCAAGCAAAGAACCAACAGATAGAAGGAAGTGTGAGACAATTATTTGTAGAGGTTATCTGTAGACGTACTAAAGCAGTTGCTAGAACAGCTACTCAAAGTCACTGACAAAGTGGTAGAGCACCGTGTCACTCAGGGATGAGCATTAACTTCAGGAGTGCTATCTCATAGAAGTCTTAGCATCAAGAACACTTGGTCCAAGCTGGATGAGTGGCATTTTACCCAACACTACTGTCACGGCTATCAGTGCCATACTAAATACAGGCCATACTTCTCCCCTACTCATCTTTCTGAGATGCCATACTGATGATAGAATGGTGCTTGCTAGTGTGATCATCCCTCAGCTCTTTGTTATAGGGGAAGGAGAGAAAAAGAGTGCATTTCAGTACTCTGGGAATATTGCTATGTGCATTTGTAAAAGATATACCAAAAGTGAAGGGAAAAAGGGGACAACTAGGTAAAACATACTCTTGAACATTTTCTGCACCTTGGTGCTGCTGCAGGCAACCTTTTCAGCCTCTGTCTTGAGACTATTATTGCTTTCCATAACTTATTTTCCAAGTTTAATTTTCATACATCTGAGCAAAAATTCCTCATTTCTTAAGTACAAAGAAGAAAAATAAACCTGTTTTCACACAGAAGAAAAAAACTAAAAAGGAAAGAAAAAAACACTCTGAATCTCAGTTAACAGAATGGCATTACAGAATCCTTGCAAGGCACAAAAGCCTGCAAGTGGAAAAGCATAACGTTATTTGAGACAAAGAAATAGGTCACAGGACTTTAAAAAAATGTATTGAGGACACAAAATAGGGTTTTTTTCCCTAAACTTCTGTAGCTATCCAGGCCACACCATTTAGATTAGGGCCTCCAAAGCACAGCCCATTTCTGACAGTAAAGCTGTTTTGACTCGGAGCCATTTTATCATCAAAGCCTGGAAGTTATGAAAAAGGATGAAACCAGCAGGGGAACAAGAGAGAAAGAGAGATGCTAGCTGGTTTAGTCCAGCTGACTGATGGGCATTAGATGATGTACACAGCAAATCTGGAAGCAAAAACATTTAATATTTACTTAATTGTTCTTACCAGAAGCTGACTTAACACACTTCTTGATGTGCCCGGGACAAAAGGTAACACATGTTTTCCAAGTGTCTGATGATACGACAGCAGTGGGGCCCTGGGGTCTACTACAGGTACATCACAGTTACCAACTAGTAACACAATCTCTGATAGCTTAGGAACAAATACTTAAAAGTGCTGAGCTGTTTTGGAAACCCTGCTGAGTGCTTGCATTGCCAACCACCTAAACTCTTCCCAAAATTTGGCTGTAAAACTCTTCTTTACAACATCAAAACCACAAACTCTTTCTTGTGAACTGTTCCTTATGACATAAAAAGCTTCTATTTTCATCATGTTTATTTACAGCATCATATTAAAACATGTATAGAGTAATGAGTGAAAAGCTCCTGCCCTCACACTTCCTTTTTATTTTTCATTTTGAGTCTGATAAAAATGCTGTTAAGTCAGTGCAAGTCTTCCCATTCATTTTTGTGGGTCCTAGACCAGGACATCTAAATCCTGTATTTTTTCAGACTACCATTTTTGACATTACAAGAAACAGTCGTTTCCTTTAACTTGTGGTTTAGGATATGGGCTCAATATTGTTCTATATGCCCAGGAGTGGTTCTGTACATGAACACCTGCATTATGAACTGCATTTTAATCCTAAACACTTTACCAAGGATCATAGACAAAACATCTTTGCATAAGCTGCCCATTGCATAGATTTTTTAAAGTTCACACAGTACATGCTTCTGTTTTGCTCACTGAAACTCAGTGAAAAGTGAAGCTTTTGAATGAAAAAGTAAGTACAGGAATAAGCATAAAATCAAACTCAAAAAAATCCAGAAGAAAGAATAAATTTTAACAATATTGTTTTCTAGAGTATATATGTTTAAATTAGCAGGAGTCATCTTGTCACACATTTGTAGCTTCCCTGAAACAACACATAGGTAGGAAAGAAACAAAAAAATTTCCAAAGTTAAACGTGAAAGATATATTTGCATTGCTGAAAGTCAGCTGATTTACAGAAGAATAAAATTATTTGCTATTTAGTTTATGATGTGTCTTTTGTCAAAGTTACACTGCCATAAAGCACAGCAGGACATTTCCATGTGAATTGGTTTACCCCTGAGGGCTTTTCTAACAAAAAGACAAAAAGTTAATAACATTCAGCCATTCAGAGCTGAACTGAAATACTGTTGTAGTTCTCATAAAAGAAGGGAAAGGAGATGTTAAGAAAGATGAAGCAGTTTTCTGTGAGGCAGTAGGCCTGGCTTCTGCTCCTGGGGGACTTCTGAATGGTGCTTTGTTTTCAGCAAGTCAATTTTTCCTTTTATGCTCTGTTTCTGACTGATGAAATATATAAATATATATAAACCACTTATATCCTACCATGTAAAAGTGTGCATGTTATCAACACGAAGAACTGCACATCTTACCATCTTTTTGTCTGAGGAAAATCCCACTGCCACCCAGCCATCAGTATCAGCACTCAACTCAAATTCCACGTCAGCTCCTATTCTACGGTAACTTAGAAAGTAGTCACAAGTCTCCGCATTACATCCAGGTTTACCATACCTAAATGGAATTGAAAATACAAGTGATTTTTCCTTGAAATTTGCTGCTATGGAACTTAATTAAATTTCTGCAAAAAAACACAAAAGAACGTATTCTGCTATAATGGTGGTAAAATATATTATATAATCTGCTATACATAGGGTACCATTAATTGTTTGCAATTATTGCTCTTTTAGTATAAGAATGTATAGTATTTAAACAGTATGGCAAACAGTCACACACAGTATTACTCTGTTGACCTTACTTGCTCAGGTTTTGTAAGTGCTTCATGAAAATATGAATTGTGAAAGAACTGTAGGTCCATAACTATGACATATATCCTAGTGTCCTCAAATAATATAGTTACTACTAAAAAGTATGTTCTTCAAATAATAAACATTTATTAAAATGACTGTGGAACACTTACCAAAGTCTCCAATATCATCAGTATGCATTTCTAAAAATAAAGTTATCTGCACTCTTATCTCAGACTGACCTGAAGCATCCCTTGGTTTTTCCACAGTCATCCACTCTGATTTTTGCGAAGGGATCCACAGGAGGAGCAGTAGGGAAAGGGTAACCTGTATAATCAGAATAAATCATTACTAAATAAAATATAAGGAATAAAGAGCAGTAATACTAAAGAGAAATGTTGCAATAGCATTTACTTGCAGATAACTGCACTGTTCAGACAAGGGACTACTTTGTCACATACACAATCCATTGCTCAGATAGTGCTGGATCCAGGTACCAAAGCAACATGAGTAACTGAAAACAAAACTTTCCCGCATTTATTAAGGCAAGAGAGGAATGCCAAAGGCTAAAAGTTAGTGTAAGGCAGCAGGACCATGGACAAGTACAATCAACTAACAGTTCGGGATCTCCGCTCAGCTATCTCTTTGTCCCCTCAGGAAATCCATTAGGGAACTAAATTTGACTCCTTACAAATGACAGCATGAGGTTTAAATGGAGGCAGGGCACCAGACACAGAGCTGTAGGAATGGATACCTTATATAATAAGGAAAGCACCTTAGGATACGTCCTCCACTAAGAAGTAAAATAAAACACACACTGCAGTAAAAAGCAAGAGAGTATCAAGACAGAGAATTGCCTGCAGTTATAGCCTGCAATCACTTGTGAAGGCAGACCCAAAAGAGCTGGACAATGAGAGTTAAGATTCCAAGCAATTCCCTGTCTGCTGCAAGATAATACACCAAAGAGGAAGTGAGAACATTTTTGAACAGATCTATTCTGTCTTCGCTTGTAGACGCTGGTGTCTGTTGTATAAGCACAGATATTTTTATTAGGATGTTCTTTTACTTAGCCAGCTGAAAAATGAAGTGCTAACTGTGAAACTAGAAAGTCCTCTGAAAGCGCTTCATTGAATAGGAAAAGTGCTTCATTGAGTAGAGAATGAACACTGCAGTTAGTTACAGCATCAGTACACAAACGTTTGACCCACACAACTTTGGGTGTTCAGGAGCCCTGATTCGCTTCCTCAGATTTCTGACAATGCCAATGGAGAAAGTGTGCTGTAAGCTGCAAATCACAGCTCTATTAACTGTATCACGGGCCTGGCTAAATTAGCCAGCATAAATGCATTAAGTTTGCAGAATTTCACAGCAGCCTGAAGCAGAGCATCACTGACACACTGATCACGGGACATGCAATTTTCTTACTCCTTCGGTATTTTCAAGCCCATTGAACAAACGGGTTTCAACGCATCCTAGCCACAAAACGGGGAGTTATAACACTCCACCATCTGTAAATTCAAAAAGACACCCCGGAACCCACGACCACTCTGTTTCTCCTTGACACGTTAGGGTATCACACGTCCTTTCGAAGCCCACAAGCCCCGGGATTCCTCTTCACGCTACCAGCCCGTAAAGCTTTGCACGAGGGGAAGGCGAGACACCGCCGGCCGGCCCCGCTCTGCGGGAAGGGGACGGAAGCCCGGCCCCGTCCGGGGGGATGCCCGGGCCCGGGGGTGCCGCTGCGAGGAGCGAGGCGCCGGGCCTGCGGAGAGCGCGGCGGTCCGGCGGGACACCCGGGGCTGGCCGCGGCCCCGGCCCCGGGCGGCAGCGCTGGCTGGAGGCCGCCCGGGCGGCGGAAGATGGCGGCGGGCGCTGGCCTTCGTGCTGAACAACGCCGCCGCTGCTCGCCCGCCCGCCCGCCGCCACCGATGCCCGGCCGGCGCAGTGCTCCCTCCCTGCCGCGGCCGCGCTGCCCCCTTCGCCCGCCGCGTCCCGTCCGGTCCCGCCGCCCGCCCCGGCCGCCGCCGCACCCTCCTCGGAGAGGTAGCGCAGGTCGTAGAACTCGCTGGCGAAGGTGCCGTACGAGGAGTCGTGGTGCCGCGCCGCGTCCTCGCCGTGCTCCCCGCCGCCCGCCTCCCGCCGCCCGCCGCCCTCCTCGGCCGGGCTGGCGGCGGAGCCGGCCAGGAGCAGCAGCAGCAGCAGCAGCAGCAGCCGCCGCCGAGCGCCGCGGCTCCGCTCCGCCATGGCGGCGGCGGCGGGGCGGGCAGGCGGCGGCGCCCGAGCGCGACTCCGCGGGGGAGCGGGGGCGGCCGCCGGGGGGATCCAGCCCCGGGGACGGGCGGTGCCGGAGGGAGCGCGGGGGTGGACGAAAGGGACGGTGTGGGATGAAGAGGTGCCGGGGCGGCGTATGCGCGTGGGAGCGGCGTGCGTGGGAGCGGGATGCGCCGGGAGCGGGATGCGCCGGGAGCGGTACGCGCGGGCGGTCCCAGGCACAGCCCTGGCAGCACCGAGCCTTCCCGCAGGGATCGCCGCCGAAGGGCTAGGTGGTGGCCTTCGTGGACCACCAGGTTCCCGCACTCCAAAGCCCGCCCCACCCGGCGGAGACCCCGCCGCGGGGACACCTTCTGCCACCGCCCAGGCACAGCACTCGGGGGCAGCACCAAACCATCCCCGGCCGCCCCTGTGGCCTCGATTCACCAAAGCCTCCCAGCATGTGCTTCAAGAGGACGTGATAAATCCTGCTCAGTAATTGCCGGGCAAACTTAGCTCTTTTCCTGGTTTGTTTGGGTTTTTTTAAATTATTTTTAATGACTTCTGAGATGGGACTGGAGGCACAGCACGACTTAACATTCATTTCAGGTAAAACCCCATGGTAGTGAGCGCTCACTGTCTGATTGCATGTTCTTGCTTTGTATTTTATGCAATGTAACTGCAGCAGTACGAATATGCTTTCAGACCTGTCAGGACTGAAGGAAAGCCCAGGTTGTGCCCCCAGAGTTGGCTTGGGCTCTTGTATCTGATGCTGGACTTACAGCTAGGCATTAAAGATATAACTGCGTTCTCACTGTGCCATGGTGTCTATAGGTTGATGAAGGAACCACGACCTTTCGTACCTCATGTTTGCCAAAGTGGCTTTTTTCTTGGATTTGGATTGCTGTCTTCTGGTTATAACTAAAATTTAATTTTTATGTTGTTTTGCATGGTTACACTTCCTCCTCTAAGAATCCAGAATAAAATTCAGCAAAACATCAGGAAGGAGGTAGGGAGGGAGGGAGGGAAAAAGGTGAAGACACAGAAGTCAGTAATATTCTGAAAATTAAAATAACCCCCAATTTAAATGTTTTCTTTTTTACTATTGATAACTGTACGGAGTTACTTTTTGATACGGCACTGAGACTGCCCAAGACCTAAGCTGCATTAGGGTTAAGTCCATTCCCTTGAGTTGAGCAGGTGATTGTCATACTGGGGTGCGCTCAGCTCCACTGAGTGGAGGATGTTAATTCACATATCCATGGTTTAGTCTGGTGGAGTAGCATGTTATCTCTCGCTGCAGATAGAGGAACAGCTATACAGAGGTAAAAAATAAATTGCAAAAGAAATTCCAATTGCATGCAAATTCAACATGTTCCATAGTAGCATATGAAAAAAAGCTATGGAAGAGCAACAACAAACTCAAGTGCAAAATAGTGAGTCCTTTCTTCCTACCTCACTGAGCTTGGCAAACTTAAGCAGGCCAGTGGAAAACAAGCAAACAAATGGCAATAGAAAAAAAACCCTTATAAATCAGGCTAACAGGAGAATAAGACTGCAGCTTATTCTTTCTGGGAATAATCAACTCTGAAGAAGGCCCCCTGTCTCCTTTTTGAAATAGCTCACTGAGGGTTGTGATGCCTATGAAGAAACATTTGCTCAGCGAGGGAGCAGCTGTCAGCTGCATGCTGATTTTTCCTCCCTGGGAACAGGCTTTAGCACACTGCGATATGGGCAATGCTTCACAGTTACTGTAAACACTTAGGATATTTATCATGTATTGTTTATGCCTACATGACATCTATTGTTTTAAATCTGACAGCTGAGATAACTGTCTGCAATTACCGTGAAGCTGCACTGATTTTCTAAGGTGAAGATACGGCTAAGAGACTGACTATATTGCATGTGCCTTCCTCCTTGTAAATCCTTAAAAATTAAAACTAAAATATTCCAGCATTTTTGCCCCTTAGTAGAACCTCTTGTGTTTGCCTGAAGGTTCTCCCTATCACAAGAAAGGGTTGCTCATGGAAAGCAATGTCACATTGAGACAGGTGGAGCTCTAATGAGTACCTTCAGTTTTCAGCAGACAGAAAGGTCTGCACTGCAACTAACAGCACTGCCAGCAGTTCTGCAGGGAGGATCCTTATCTGATCAAATAATTGAGGCTGCTATCAAAGGAAACATTAGCAGAAGGAGTCCAAACTGCAATTGCACACGCAGCCTTAACCCTGAAATGCCTAAAGTTTCTGAATGCCATATTTCTCAGCTTGCACGTGCTGGTAACACCTTTCTTATATGGGACATACACAAGCCATATGTGAACCGCACGTAAAAGGCATTGCCAGCCCCTGACAGCAGAGGACCTCTTGCTTTTGGTGAATTAGAGATGTGAGCATTTCCCACTTCTTGCGCCATAGCCTCCTGCCTCAGGGGAATCCAGCAGTCAGATTCCTTGTATGGTTAATTGCTCTAAAGCTCGGGCGATTCTCTAGTTCTAGGACTGAGTCTATCAGTGTCTTGCCAGGACTAGAGACCAGGATTATCCCCAGACATCCCTTGAGGCCCACCCTGCCTTCTTTCTTCGCTTTGTTTGGTCACTCAAAGTACACCTTTTCCCTGGAGGCTCATGGCTTTTAGGGCTTTTGGACTAGAAATTAAAGCTTCAGGAATAAGTCATAGTTTATAAAACAGACATTCACAAAAAAAAAGTTGTCTCAGAGTCTCTGCATTATTCAGGAGTGGCTGGGGGGGGGAAGAGGCTAAAAACCTACTAGTCATATAAGACCATGGCCTGACTAATGAAGAGAGAAGTGGGGAAAGGCCAGTGATGCCAGCAGACCATTAGGCTGATAAGATATCCTTTGTGCCCACTTTTCCTTTGGGATCACCCATGTCAAACAAGTTCCTCTCTCCACTGCTTGGGCAGTTAGGCTGGATCTTGCATTTTCCAGGTCCTTTCTGGTTCTGTGCATGATCTAGCAGGTTTTGTCCATTTGATCATTCTCGACTTCCTTACTCAGCTATTCGTAAGTTATTAGTGTTGTCAGACCACCCCAAAAAGATGAAGTTGGTTAAGTTTATACTGCCCTGCCTCTTCCCAGCTACATCCTCAATATATCCATGCCTCAAGAACAATATGTTAAAGTTGAGTGCTGCTGGTTATTTCCATCAAATCAACATGTACTGAGAAATCAGTACATATCTACCAGGGGTACTGATTGAGAAAGCAATTTGCAAGACAGCAGTTTTCTTACTGCAGTAACCTGAACCAGAATTTGTAATTTAATGCAGTTTTCTCAAACCCTTACCACAATCTTGTTCAATATGGTTAATGTAGTTACCAGTGATTTATGTTGGGCTTTCCTTTATTAAACAACAATAAATTGAGAAATTGAGAAATAACACTGATTTCATTAGTAGTCATTTATGCTGTGCTCTAGTTATCAACTTGTGACTCTTCAGAAACGTGCTTGCTGTGTTAGTTACTTAAAATAAGACATGGGAGAAAATATGCTAGGAATTTCTGGAAAGCAGACTTTTTTCACAATATACAAAATGGATTGATGAAGGTAGAAATGTCAAATGCCAATATGTGACATATATCTCCTATGAGAAAAGTAAGAACTAAAAAAACAAAGCACTGTGGAGGAAAAAGACATGTATAATTTCTGGAAGCTGCTCACCAAAGAGATGAGTGAGCTTTTTGGAGGCATGGTATTGCTTCAGGTCTTCTGGAGAAAGGCAAAAAAATATAAACTCCAAATATGCTATCATCCAAATACAAACTGCATTAGATCATTAGATCATCTTTTGCTAAGCACAGGTAAATTTTTCTTTTTCTCCTGCCACTGAGTTATTATCTGGTCTTGTTCCAAGAATGCCTTTGCAGCCAATACTGCTCACAACAGCAGTCTTTCTATAAAATTAATCTAACGCAGGAAAAAAGCAATGCCTCCAAGTTTTTTCCACAAACATAACATATACCAATCTAAAGACTAAGTCCAGCAGTTTTAGACACTAAATCAGCATCAGTTTTGCTTCAGTAAGCACTATAGACCCTTCCCAAAGTATATTAAAACTGTGCAGGTTTTTTGTTTGTTTGTTTGGGGGGTTTGTGTGTGTGTGTGTTCATTTACATCAGGTAGTTTCTGTCTTTTCTCCCAAGATTGTATTTTTTCACTTGCCTGGTATACCTGTCTTTGATACCCCAGTGTGAATGCAGTTATGGGAGGTCTACCCTGAAAGCCAGATCTACCAGATGGTGGCACAATGTGCACCAGGTGGTTTTGGAGCAAAATGCTTCACATTTTTTAAAAAGTCCTCATTACAAAGAAGTTATTTATAGTTTTATTCTCACAAGGAGCCAAAACAGAGCAGCCTTTTATTAGAACTTGCAGTAAAGGGCATTACATTGAGGCCTCCCTGTGCATAAATACCATTTACTTACTGTGCAAAAATTGGCCTGGAGAGCAGAAAAATTTAGCTTGTATTAGCAAAGAGCTCATTTAGGTAGGAATGTTTTAAAGAGTTTAAGCTGCATGGGCAGAATTCAATTAATTCCACGTGAGACAATGTAATTTTATCCTAATTAGTTAAGAACCCAGAAATGAGGGGGGGGGGGGGGGGAAAAAGGCAAAACCCTGTTCCTTTATGAAACTTCAACTGAAGAGTTATTGTGAAAGTTCTGTAAGTTTGCCTGTTGGAAAACAACGAGCTAAAACAATCTTTCCCCAGTGCAAACACAAGACATCTCTGCATCTGAATAATAATAATAATAATAATGCCCTTATCTTCTAGGTGAATGTAAGCAGGTGAGAAAAAGCAGCAGAGGAGCTCCTTCTGCTTCACTCCTCTTCAGGGAAGGTCCTTTCTATGTATGCCTAACCAAGGCATCTTCTGCCAAGGGATCCGAGGAATGCAGGCCTTGGCCCTTCCTGAATAAAAGCTCCAGGAGGGGATGCTTTGTTTCAAACAACCCAAGGAAAAACTCCCGTATAAGGGGAGTTTTCTCTTTCTCTCGAG